GGGGGGGGTTAAAATTGATGTGCTGTTCTTTTTTTTTTTAATATATTTTTTATTGATTTCAGAGAGAGGAAGGGAGAGGGAGAGATAGAAGCATCAATGATGAGAGCCATTGATCGGCTGTCTCTAGCACACCCCCTACTGGGGATCGAGCCCACAACCTAGGCATGTGCCCTGGCCAGAATCCAACTGTGATCTCCTGGATCATAGGTCAATGATCAACCACTTAGCCACACCAGCCAGCTGATGTGCTGTTCTTAAGTGACCTCCTAGACTCCAGTAAACATTACACATTCCCACCTCTGAATCTCTGCTTCAGCCTGGAATAAGCTTCCTAGACCTTGTCCTGCCAAACTATCCAAATCCAATCTATCTTTCAAATATCTATTCATTCTTTCAACAATATTTAATGAATACCTAGCATAGTACCTGATACATATTTGTCAAATGAATCTGTTTCACATCACCTTATTCCTTGCACATAAATACTCAGTGAACATTTGTTCCTTGGTTAATTAACAACACAGTTTGGTTCCTTAGAACAATGGAATTTAGTATTACCAGGATTTCTGGGGTGGGAGTATTGTGTACCTACTACTGACTGCTATGGTGTACTGACTACTTGTGCTTGAATCCTGATTCTACCACTTACTAGTTGGATGACCCTAGGTAAATCACTTAATTATCTGTGCCTCAGTCTTCATTATATGTAATATGGGGGGGGGGGAGGTGGCTACTATATAAGGCTATTATTGTATTAATCAGAAAACCTTTTAGCATAAACACATTGTAAGCACCCAATAAATGGAAGTTGTTATTATTTTTAGCTCCAGCTGAGATTGAAACTGAGTTTTCTTCCAAGCATTTATTCTGGGTATAAGACATAAACAAAGAACACTTGGGACATTGGTCTATGAATAAGCCTCACTCTTTTTATTATTTATTTATTTATTTATTTATTTATTTATTTATTTATTTATTTATGCAGGTCTTTTGTTTTGGTTTGGTTTGGTTTTGGCCTCACTAGTAACTTACTCCAGGACCTTGAACTCATCCAGTAGCTTGTAACTCATAAATCTTGACTAATTACACAGATTGTGTCTTCTTCGTGTTTGTGAAGCCCAGTGACTTATAGTTAAGTGCTTGGAGATCTTCAGATGAAAGGCACGCAAGGGCAGGCACCAGACACCCTATTCAGTCATAAAAACAAAAAAACAAAATACTACCAAAAAACTTGGAAAAAGCAGGGACCCAGAAAGAGCAAATCAATCCTTAGACTGTAATTCCCTAATACGGAGACTGGGAGACCAGGAGATGGGGAGAGAGATCATTTACAATGCCTCAGACTACTTGGAGGGTACCGGATGGGTAGGACAGGATGCCCAAGTCTTTGACATAACCTGGGCTGTGGGAGGAGTGCGAATCTTTCACCTCTCCTACATAAAAACTGGAGCAACATGTATTGTTATCCTAATTAATTTAAGCCAGTTAAAAGGCTTTGGCAAACTGGCCCCTGTGAGTGGCTTGTTTGTGAGTTGTGATCCGGTCCTGAATTATGCCAGGTTCCTCTTCCAATTTCATTCTTCTACTTCACCTCCTCCCTCCCACCCCTTCAGGCAATGGACCCCCCTCCTAAACCTAGAGGTCCCTCTAGGGGAGCCCAGTGGAGAAGTGGGAGTATTGGAACCTTCAAGTTGTAAAAAAATAGCGGTGCACAACACGTAGTTTTTACAGGGGCTGTCCCTGAGGTTGAAACAAAGAAGAAACTGCCAGCACAGCTATTAGTTTCCCAGCCCTTAAATGGCAGGTAGCTGTGAAGCCGTGGCAAGAGCACTGCACTTAGAGCTACGCAGTCCTGGTGTTCTACCATTTCATAACTTTGATATTTTAGACCGGTTCCTTAACCGTTTTGAACTTTAGTTTCTTCCTCTTAAAGTGTGGAAAACAATACTACATATCTCACAGGTTGTTAAAAGTAAACTAGAGAGGGCATCTGAACTCTTTCGGCCCACTGTAAACTATCACACAGCAGGCGTTACAGCCGAAGCTCCTCCCCACCCCCCAACTACATACGTTACAAACCAGCAGTCACCACTAATACGACCTGCCCCCTCCTAAGGAATCATGGGCCATGAAGTCCTTTGATGGCTACACCCTCGTTTGCTGTCACGGAAGTGAGAACTACGCCTCCCAGAATGCAATGGTAAGGCCGCAGCCACAACTGCCCTCTACTCCGCCCCCGTTGGGCAATAGCCTCCTGGGATATGTAGTCCCAGATCCAACTCCTCTCGCCAGCAAAAGGCCATGGAGGAACCACAAACCCCAGAAGTCCTCGCGCCCACTCTTCTCCCTCCCCTCTCGGAGTCGGAGTGCTGTTTTTGTTGTTGGTGAAAGGTGAGGGAACAGCTGATCCGTTTGTGGGGTAAGAAACTTGGCCTAATTTGGGGGCGATCTTATGGGGAGTCACTCCACTTTCCAGTCTGTGAAAGGATGAGCTAAGGGGACTGCAGAAAGAGGATGCAGGAACGTTTGGGTTTTAACACTTTCCGTAGTGGGGAAGCCACCCTCACTGTTTTGGGAGTTCTTGGTCTCAAGGGGCCCGGATCAAAGCGGTGCCGTCCTCACTGTTCTAACCCTCCTCTCTGCCGTTCTCTAAAAAGCTTGATGCGCTTAAGAGGGTTGGGGAGAGGCTGAACTATTTGCTCATTCTCCCCCGTGCAAGACTTGGCCCTCAAACCTTTCCTTTCCCCTTACCACCCCCACACCCCTCGCCAATCCAAACGCCTTTGCTACGTTGTCTCGCTGGGGGAGGGGGGAGAACTTTCCAAGGTGTAGAATGTCAAGGGACTCTAGAGCCCTATAGAATGGGATGATGGTGGGATGATGGTATCCCACCATGCGAACACCTCAGTTTGGCTACACACATACACCTTAGGTGCCCAGAGCTCTCTTTCAGGCCTGGGGAATGTTTCTAACTCTTAAGGATTTTATTTGTGGCAAGTATTTTGGATTCCCCAGGCTTAGATAATTTATGCCCCCTTAGAAAACAAGAGAATTGTATTTGGAGAAAACATGGACTAGTTTTAACTAGGGATTTTTAAGAGAGATGAAAATCCAAAGAAATGGGTTTTTTTCCTCAATTCATTCTCTATTTTGGAAGTAAAAGTTACTCCTTTTTGTAGAGCTGACCCACCTTTCCTTCTCTACTGAGCATCTGCCTTCTTTTAAAGTGCCTACCCACCTTAAAGTGTGGGTTTGTGATGTTTGGGGACCTGCACATGACGCGTGGCTATAGCTGATTGGAGGCAGTCAGCTGTGGCTGACACAGGATGTAGACTAGCGGGCTAGAGAGGAGAGATGCGGAGAGCCATCTCACAGCCCTGGGCTGAGGAGTTTTCTTGATTGATATTGTTCTCTTTCCTCACCCCACCCCCATATTTTCCAGTTAACTCTCCCCACCTAACTTGGAACACCTCTTCCTCTCAATTTCTTCCTATAGTGTGTCTCCAACTACCAATCCAAGCAGATGGAGGACTGGAGGAATTCAGCACTTAGAATTGAGGCTAAGGGGAGCAGAGAGAAAATGGGGAGGGAAATAATGGAACTGGGTTACATATAGTCAAACCTGTAGGTTTCTAGTCGTGCTTCAGGCAAGAACTGAAGAGGAGAATGTTAAGTTTTTTTTTAACTATCTCTTCCTTCTCTCAACATTAATACATTTCCCTTTCTCAGGGCTCCTTACTTCCCACCTTCCAGTCTGTCCCCTGCCCAGGGGTGGGGCTTTCCTGGCTCCAGGCCCCCACATTCCATCTCCCCACACCACCACGTTCCTGCTGAGTATTTCACTCCACCCTTGTAGCAGCCGCCTCCAGAATTCTTGACTTCCTGGAATAATGAAGTTGAGGACAGAACCTGTCTTTCCTTATATCCTCCCTTTCCTTTTGTCTCTTAGATGAGAGTGGAAGCTGTTTTGTTGGGTGGTTTGTTTTTAATTCATGGGGTTAGACAGCTCAGAGAAGGGGAGAGAATGAGAGCTCAGGGGCCTGAGAATTGGGCTATTGCACACACCACCACCACCACCACCAAGCCATATTTTAGCTCTGAAGATGGAATTATTACTTTCAGAGATTAGTTGCTGTTTCCAGGTGTCATGATCATTCCTGTGTACAGTTGGGTCAGCAAGCTCAGGAGTGTACAAGGAGACCTGCTCAGAATGAGGAGGCCCCACACCTCAGTTGGATTTTTAATTCAGGAGCCAGAAGATGTGGGGGATAGGATGTGAAAATGGAGGCTGAAGAATGTGGAATCCTCAAAGATGTTAAGAGATATAAAAGGGACTGAGGAGGGCAGAGCCTGGATACTAAGACTTGATCAGTGGGGCAGTGAAAAGGGAGCAGAAATTAAAGAGGTCTTAACTCTAGGAACAGTGTATGACTTAGAGTGAGTGTTGTGTGAAACAGGACCAGGACTGACATGGAAGGTCATACTTACATCCTGCAAACTAAGAGTGACATTTCTAAAAGGGTCCTATAACCTTCAGGGACTGTATGCTAAATATGACTTCATCTCCAGGTATGGTGGTAGGTGCTGTGGATAGGGGTGGATGGAGTCAACAAGGGGAAAATGGAGTGGAGAGACTTTAGGGTATTAACCCTTTATTTCATAGGAGAGCACATTATCTCAAGGGAAGATGGAAGAATCATCACTAAGCCGGGCACCATCTCGGGGTGGAGTCAGCTTTCTGAATGTGGCCCGGACCTACATCCCCAACACCAAGGTGGAATGTCACTACACCCTTCCCCCAGGCACCGTGCCCAGTGCCAGCGACTGGATTGGTATCTTCAAGGTATACCTGGAACCCCTTTTGGCTCAGGTTTATGTTGGTTGACTGGGTTCTTAGATCCTCAACAAGTTGATAGAGAAGAAGTGAAAAAGATGTCCCAGATGACAGAGTCCATCTACATAAACAAAGCTCATCTTCTCCCCATCTTAGCCTTGCTCTCTTTTGATACATTAGTGTCCCCCCACTTTCCCTGTCTTTCATCATCCTTGCCACTATAACACCATCCTATCCCCCCATTCAATCCCTCAACCCTTTCTACAATCTATAGCTGGTAGTCCTTCACCATAATCCTCTCTTACCTTGGACTTTCACAGGTGGAGGCTGCCTGTGTTCGGGATTACCACACATTTGTGTGGTCTTCAGTGCCTGAAAGTGCAACTGATGGTTCCCCCATCCATGCCAGTGTCCAGTTCCAAGGTACAAGGGAAGATAGAGAACCAAGAGGGAGGAATCAAGGGGATAGATGTTTGGAAAAAGGAAGTAGACTCAGAAACATAAAATTTAGGCACAGAGAACAAGGAAAAATACGTGCAAATCAATAAAATAATGTCCAACAGATTCAGCAGACGTGGGGTTATCACAGAATCAAGGACTTAGAAATGGAGAGAACTGGACAGTGCAATTAATCCTACTGAAAGGAGGAGGAACTACGGGGTAGAGAAGAGGGAAAGGTGGTGTCATAAATTGAGAAGAAGGTGGTCATTAGATTCTAAAAGACCTGGGTTCAAATCTCAGCTCTAATAAGCTTTTTGACACTGGGCAAATTACTTAACCTCTCTGTTTCTGTTATCTTAACATTAAAAGGGGATGCCTGCTTTACAGGGACAATAAAAGATTTTAAACGATATACAGAAAACTGTTAGCACTGTGCCTGGTACGTGGTGGGCACTCAATAAATAGTAACTAGCATTATTATTATTATTATTATTATTATTATTATTATTATTATTGAGGAGGGTAGACTTGGGAAAAAGAGGAAAGAAAGGACTAGGCAGAAAGGAGAGAGAAGAGTATCCCAGGGAACAGAAATAGCCTATGGTGAAGAGGCGAGAAAACTGAATATGGAACAGGCAGCAAGGGGCCAGAACCAAAGACAGTGGAGATAGTAAAATACACCATTCTTCTTCCCACAGCCAGCTACCTGCCCAAACCGGGAGCCCAGCTCTACCAGTTCCGATATGTGAACCGCCAGGGCCGGGTGTGTGGGCAGAGCCCCCCTTTCCAGTTCCGAGAGCCAAGGCCCATGGATGAACTGGTGACTCTTGAGGAGACTGATGGAGGCTCTGACATCCTGCTGGTTGTCCCCAAGGCAACTGTGCTGCAGGTGAGAACAGCAACAGAGCTGCTGCTGGGCACAGGGGTGGGAAGACAGCATTGCAAGGGGCCCCTTCCCACTGCACCCTCCCTTCAGCTATAGCTTCAAGTAGAGACCTCACTGGGAGTTATACAAAGTCTTGCCTTCAAGAAAGTCTCAATCTGACATAGACAACATGAACATGTAGGGCAGGAAAGCAAACCACCCAAGAGCCAACGTCACTCAAGATTCCATAAGAGCTTTTTGAGCGTTCCTTCTTCAAGTGCTATGTCCCGCCCTAGGCCCTAGAAGAAGATGCAAAGGGTAGAGGGAGGCCACCCCAGGTAAGGAACAACCAGAGGAAGAGGAGAATGAAACCCACTTTCAGGACAGGTGATGAGAACAGATAGGTAGGGCCCCAGACCTGCGCCTTGCGATACCCACATGTGGCTTTTGAGCATTTGAAATGTGACTGGTCCAAATTGAGATGTACTGCGTGGGTAAAATACTGGATTTTGAAGACCTAGTATTAAAAAAAAGTGTAAAAATCTCCATAATTGTGTATATTGATTACATGTTGAAATAATATTTTGGATAGACTGAGTTAGATAAAATAATATTAAAATTAATTTCACCTGTTTCTTATTAGTACTTTTTTTAAATGTCTGCTAGAAAATTTAAAATTATATATGTGGCTTGTATTATTTTTCTTTTGGACCATATAGAGAAAAATTAGGGCAAGGAAGACCTTCTGAAGAAAGGTGAGGACCAGGGCTAGGTGGGGAGGAAGTACACTCCCCAGACAAGAGGACAGGCCTGAGGAAGATCAGAAGAAGAGGATGAGTAGCTTGTCTCTGATTTAGACAAACTCCAGCCTTTAGAACCCTCTAAACACATGGACTCAACACAAGAACAGGAAGAAGATGTTTATATCCTACATTAGTCAGAGATGTGTAAGCTCCTACACCATGTTCTGTTTTTACATTCATGATTCTCATTACAATTATCTTACATCAACCCAGGCTAAGGGATCACTTCACAGATGAGGACACAGAGACTCAGAGAAGTTAAGTCACTTGTTCAGAGTTCCATAGCTCTTAAAATCGCATTGGAGATTTAAATCCAGTGTTTGACTCCAAAACCAATAGGTTAAAATTAGGCGAGCCATCTCTTTTGCCTGTGTGGATTGAGAAAGATTTCTACCAGATGAGGCATTCCTGCAATTCTTAAGCCAAGGAGGAGCCAGCCTTTGGGTGGGAAGAAGTAAAAGAGGAGTGGGGCCCTGGCTGGTGTGTCTCAGTTGGTTGAGCGTCATCCTGTGCACCGAAAGGTTGCCGGTTCAGTTCTTGGTCAGGACACATGCCCAGGTTGCAGGGCACGTACGGGAGACAAACGATTGATGTTTCTTTCTCTTTCCTTCTCTCTAAAATCAATAAAAACATATTTTTTAAAAAAATAGGAGTGGGCAGTTAAGAGTACGGGGAGCTGGGATGCCTGGTGGGTGATGGGCAGGCCCCAGTAGCACACCAGCTCACCTCTTTGGATCCTGTGCTGATGTAGCTTCCCAGCCCTGAAAAGCATCTGCAGAGCGATGGGGGGACCTGGGAATGGGTGCTGCACAAGCACATCCTCTTCCACCCTGTCCCCATAGAACCAGCTGGACGAGAGCCAGCAGGAGAGGAATGACCTGATGCAGCTGAAGCTGCAGCTGGAGGGGCAGGTCACGGAGCTGCGCACCCGAGTACAGGAGCTCGAAAAGGCTCTGGCAACTGCCAGGCAGGAGCACTCAGAGCTGAAAGAGCAGTACAAGGTGAGACTGGGGAGGAGGACGGGATGGGGCCCAGCTGTTCACCCAAGAGCCAAAATCTGAACCCAGTGAAGAGGGTAAAGGGGAGATGTTAGTGGGCTTTTAAGATGGTTCTGGCATCAAAGAATAATAGACTTAAGGTGTTACAAGTGGGATTGAACTTATGACAGGAGACATGTCCCAGATTTGTGAAAGACTCAGTTCTCAGAACACAGGAGTGCTGAGGTAGGGTGGCGGTGGCTGTATTCACTGGTAAGGGAATTTTCCCTTCCAGTGTCTTTTTCAAGGAAGGTTACTGGGTAGGGGTGGGAACAAACTCTAGTATGCTCCTCCTAAACCTTTGCTCCCCTCTTTAAGATAAGTCTCAACTTTTCTCTTCTTCTGGGGGAACCTTAATTCTAGGGGCTTTCCCGGTCCCATGGGGAACTCACAGAAGAGAGGGACATCTTGAGCCGGCAACAGGGAGACCATGTGGCACACATCCTGGAACTGGAAGATGACATCCAGACCATCAGTGAAAAAGTTCTGACAAAGGAGGTGGAGCTAGACAGGTGAGGGGACCTCCTGTACCCCATTACATTTCCTGTGACCCTGGAACTCCAGCTTCCTGTTTCAGGCAGGCAAACCTGCTCTCTGTCTCAGGTGGTTTGTTTCTCTTTCCTTTCTCGACCTCACTTAGGGTATTTCAGTTATTGAGGATATCTTGCTCTCTTCCATTTTTCCTAACTCATTCTGTATTCCTCACTTTCAGAAGTAATCATAGTTACTATTTATTGTGTAGCAAAGACTAAGCAGGAGCGAGGAGTAGAGGGTTTGAAAAGAAAGAATGGATTGAACAGTCAACACAAGATAAGAGAGGGTGGATTTCAGATTTTACCACAGCAAAGAATAAGATTAAACTTTGTTCTTACTGTTAGGAAATGATAGAACTGGTGATCCATGAATGTTATGGAATCTCTCCCCAGGAAAGGAATAAATCTTAGATTTTTAGCATTGGGAGGAATGTAAGATACTTAAGAGGGTATATGAAGGAAGATCACTGCCTCTTTCACTATCAGACAGCTGTCATTTTTGTATCTCTTGTGTTGATCCAAGCTCTATCATTCTTTAACTTTCACCCTTTGGTCCTGGTTTAGACTTCTGGAGCCACATAGAATAAGTTTCTTTCTTCTACCAGACAACTATTATTTCTACCAAATAACACAAATACCAGCCACCTTCCCTGCCTATTCTTCAAATTTTCACCAAGAGAAATACTCTAGCTCTTTCTTCCATGAAATGACATAATTAAGTTTCTTTCATTCAGTACTGGTAGATTTGACATTTTTTAAAAACTCTTTAAAGGAAAGAGGCATTCTGTTCAAGACCCAGAGTAAAAAGCGAGTTGCTCCCTGAGGCTTCTTCAGTCCAGGATATGTGAGTCTTGCCCTAGGGAGATACTAAATGTCTAGGTTCTAAATCATGGAATAGAAAAGCAGGGATCAGACTGAGCATCTGGAAAAGATTAGGGACTGTCTAGACCAGGGGTCAGCAAACTATGGCCCATGTGCCAAATCTTACCTGTCACTTGTTATTGTATAGCCCACAAGGTAAAAATGGTTTTGATAGCTTTTAATGGTTGAAATATTTTTCACATGTGAAAAATACATGAAATTAAAATTTCAGTGCCCGTGCCCTGGCTGGGTACCTCAGTTGATGAGAGCGTTGTCCCGATATGCCAAGGTTGTAGGTTTGATCCCCAGTCAGGGCACATACAAGAATCAATCAGTGGATGCATAAATAAGTGGAACAACAAATTGATGTTTCTCTCTCTTTCTCTCCCTCCCCCCTCCCCCTCAAACAAATAAATAAATACATTTTTAAAATTTTTCAGTGTTCATAAACAAAGTTTTATTGGAACAGCCTTGCTCCCTCATTTACTTATTATCTATGGCTGATTCCTCACTACAGTGACAGAATTTAGTGTTTGCCATGGAAACCACATGGCCGCAAAACTGAAAATACTTACTATTAGGCCATCTGCCGAAAAAGTCTGCCAACTTCTAACCTATACCAAAAGTTTATAATCAACAATGACTGTCCCTTGTCTAGAGAGAAGACTGGATTCTGGTCTCTTGACTAAGTGAAAACAGGCAGGGAGCCATCAACAGAACAAGAGAAAAGAAAAACTGTTTATTTATAGGTTGTGCTCTAGCATCAGGAGTCTTCGGTACTTAGGGCTTAGAACTCGGTTTGGGAATTTGAGCATCCCAGAGAGAAGTGGAGGTCTGAGCCCAGAGGAGCACCAGTAGAAGGGCTCAAGACAAAAGTTCGAGTCCTTCATTCCTTCTCTGGTGACCAGTTGGTTTTCTGACATTCCGTGCCCCCACTCACAGGGTTAGAGACACAGTGAAGGCCCTGACTCGGGAACAAGAGAAGCTCCTTGGGCAACTAAAGGAAGTACAAGCAGACAAGGAGCAAAGCGAGGTAAGGGCTCAGGATTGGTTTCCTTTCTCAGTTGTTCAGCCAGTGTGTATTGAGTCCCTTCTGAGTAGGCCACCAAAGGGGATAAAAATGTAAAGAAACATTGTGTACACTCTCCTAGGGAACATAGTCATATACATAAATCAAGATTAGTCAAGGGGTATATAATAAGGATTAACAGAGAAGTATAATAAAGTATTATGATGTTCCACAGAGGTGAGTGGGAGCACATCTTGTTGGGGACATTAGAAAGGACTTTTAAAAGGGGGCAAAACTAGCTTAGTATTTCTAAACTTTTTGAGCAGCAGAACCCTTTCTGCCCTACCCTCCAATGAAGTTTTACATCTTAAGTGGAACCTCACTGAATAGATAAAAGCAATATTTCATTACTATAAACTTATTTTTATAAAATCAAATGTAAAACATTTATGTATAAGGTAATGAAAGCAATTAGGTAATTTTGATCAATACCAAACTTTGAAATTGGAGGTTATGGATGACTGTTCTGTCAGCCTTGGCAGCTAATGTATTTCTGTATTTTGTTATATTTGTACAATATTGAGAACACCTTGAGTCACACACAAGTAGGTGTAAATTGATAACAGTTTTTAAACTGTCCACTTTGCAGTCTCATTCTGCTCCTCACTTTAGTAGAAAATACAGTAGAAACTTTATTCTGAGGTTTGCACAAAAATGAATTAACCTGGAAGCACATATCAGTGGGTTGGTGATCTTCAGTGTGTTAACTTGTAAGTTTGTGCATTTTTTTCACGTAATTTTTAATATTTTTAAATATTTGAAGTTTAAATAAAATATTTGTAGAACCTCTAAATGGCTTCCTCAGAACCCTAGGTTTCTGTGGAAGATTGAAAACCATTGGCTCAGCAGCGAAAAATAGGTAGAATTTGAGTAGACAGAGATGAAGGGAGGCCATTCTAGGAACAGAGGAAAACATAAGCAAAGCAGAGGAAAGCATTAGAGTCCAGAACACTCAGGGCAATTGAATATGTGGGTGAAGAGTTCGAGATAAACCCTGGTCAGATTGTAGGTGATCTTGAGTTTAATCTTTATTCTGTAAGCAGTGAGAGCCATTGATGATTTTTAAGTAGGTGACATGTACTCAAAGAAGATTAATCTGATTGCCTTGTGGAAAATGAGCTAGTTGTGAGGTTTCTCAGTACTCCAAGCAAGAAATGGCCAGAGCCAGAGCTAACATGGTTGTGGCAATAGTAGAAAAGAGAAAATGCCTGTGAGCAGGATGGAGAAACAATAGGCTTTTCTGTGGGCTGCTAGGAAGAGGACCGAGCCAAGCATGGCACCAAGGTATCCAGCTTACATGACTTGGGAATTAGTTTGAACCATGGACAGAAATAAGAGTGGAGAGACCTAGGGTAGAATGGGAAGTAGAATATACTGAGTTTGCAGGACCTAGTGGACATCTAGACTTAGTTTTAATTTAAAAGAAAAAGTGGGAAAGCAGAAATGGGATGTGGGATACCTAGTTATGTAAGACCCTTGGCTGTGATGCTGGATACCTCACTCTGGGAGCTGGAGATTGGATGTTCAGGATTGAGTCACTTTGAGCTGAGAACCCAAGAAGGGCTGGCAAGAGCTGAATGCTTGAGTTTGTGTTAAATCTGAAAAGTAGAACCTTGACTTCTCATCACAGTGGTTCACCTCCCTGGCCACCCCAAGTACGTATACCCCTTTCCTTACCTGCTCTCCACCTCCATCAGGCTGAGCTCCAGATGGCACAACAGGAGAATCGTCGCTTAAATTTAGAGCTGCAGGAAGCCAAGGACCGGCAGGAAGAGCAGGGTGCTCAGACCCAGCGACTAAAAGACAAGTTGGCCCAGATGAAGGACACCTTAGGCCAGGCCCAGCAGCGGGTGGTGAGTGAAGCCCCTAGGCAGCAAGAAGTAAAGAAAGTTCCAAGGGCTAATTGTAGAAAAGTCTGGGGAAAGACATGACTAAAAACTAAACAACCCAATCCTGGATCCTAATGCAGTGTGGGGAGGAGTTAGCCTAGTTACTACCTTCCTGGTTCACAGTGACTCACTGGGAGCCCTGATCTCCAATTCTTCCTTTCTTCTGAGGCTGAGCTGGAGCCCCTGAAGGAGCAGCTTCGAGGGGCCCAGGAGCTGGCAGCCTCAAGCCAGCAGAAAGCCACCCTTCTCGGGGAGGAGTTGGCCAGCGCAGCGGGAGCCAGGGACCGCACCATAGCCGAACTACACCGCAGCCGCCTGGAAGTGGCTGGAGTCAATGGCAGGCTGGCTGAACTCAGTCTGCATTTGAAGGAGGAAAAAAGCCAGTGGAACAAGGAGCGGGCAGGAATTTTGCAGAGTGTGGAGGTAGAGGGATGGGGGGACCTGGCAGGCTCACAACCACTGCCTCCACCTCTATGTGGTCAGATCTCCTAGGAGAAGAAAAAGGGGGGAATGGGAACCTCAGAAGACTTGGCGGGGGAGGCTGTGAGGGAGGAACACTTCACTGTCTAGGCGTGACCCATCCCTAAATAGTGTCCCAACCCTAATCTCCGCAGCACCATCCTTGGTTACCATCTTGACTCAGAAACATTTACCATTCTGGACACCAGGCCCTTACCCTAATGCCCATTACTGGTCAGCAAGGTGCCTTGCTTTCAGGTCCCTTCCCTCATTCGGGGGTTAGAGGGAATGAGGAAGGCAAGGAGGGGAAATCGCTCCCAAAAGATTCAGTTAAGTAAAGGAAGGGTCACAGTAAGGGATGGTGCCATTGCCAGTGGCGTCCCCTTTCCTTTAACCTCCCATTTTCCTTTCTGGCCATCTCCCAGGCAGAGAAGGACAAGATCCTGAAGCTGAGTGCAGAGATACTTCGTCTGGAAAAGGCAGTTCAGGAGGAGAGGACCCAGAATCAAGTACTCAAGACTGAATTGGCCCGGGAAAAGGATTCTAGCCTGGTGAGGCACCCAGCCACCTCTGAGTCCTGGTCCTGTGGCCTCCTGAGGCCAGTGGCCCCTCTACCTTAAGTGCCAGCCCACTTAAGTGCTCACTTATATGTTGGGCAGCATCTCATCTGCACACCTTCCAGCCCTCATTGGTTTGAAACATACAGTGTCCCTTTCTGCTCTCAGGACGTATATTCTGGGCCCAGTAGTGATGACAGAATTATGGAGTGCCCCTGCTATGCCCCTGCAGCCCAGGTCCACACCCAGGGAAAGACTGAATCTCCTGTGGCCAAGAAAAAGGGCTCATGGGAAAAGTGTTGGGGTTTCCCCTGTGTATGTTGGGGCAAGGGAGGAATGAAGGCACAAGAAACATGATCGAGATTGTTGTGTCCCAGTCCCAGAGCCCAGGTCTTTTGACGTACATTTTAGGCTCCTATTCCATGTGTCCCTTTTCCCTCAGGTGCAGTTGTCAGAGAGTAAGCGGGAGCTGACAGAGCTGCGGTCAGCCCTGCGTGTGCTCCAGAAGGAAAAGGAGCAGTTGCAGGAGGAGAAGCAGGTGAGCACCCTTAACTCAGGCCCCCTGGTCACCCGAATTGAGGGCTAGAAACTTTGTGCCTTTTGGCTTAGAAACTGGTATCTCTAAGAGGACCCTGAGGGTAAAAATGGGACCATTATCAGCTGATTTGGCAGGACAAAATGATTGCTGGGGGAGGGAGGGATGTAGGCAGTGAAGGAGAGCCCTTGGGGTGGGGCGGAGGATCTACCTTAAGCTGCCCACGGTTGGTGAAGGTGTCCAATTCTTGGGAGTTCAGAGTTAATCTTGCATGCAGGATAAGGGTCTGCAGGTCAGCAAGGCTGGCATCTTTCCAGCCTCTTGCACCTCTTTTCTTCCCAACACCAGGAACTGCTAGAGTACATGAGAAAACTGGAGGCCCGCCTTGAGAAGGTGGCAGATGAGAAGTGGAATGAGGACGCTGCCACAGAGGACGAGGAGGCCACTGCAGGACTGAGTCTGTACTCCCCCGATCTCGTCACACCTCTTCTCCTCTCCACCTTGCCCTGTTGGGGAAAGCTCCATGTGACCCCTCCGGGAGCTGCTCCTGCCTTCTAATTTTTGCCTTTTTCATTTGGAGCCTTTGGCCCCTGTCTAATTTAGCTGTATCCTTTACCTAAAGGAGTCAGAGCTGATCCAACCCTCTAACAATGTATCCTCCTTTCTCTGCCTGCTCCCTTACCTACAGGCTGCCCAGCAGCTCTGACAGACTCAGAGGATGAATCCCCAGAAGACATGAGGCTTCCGCCCTATGGCCTATGTGAGCATGGAGACCCAGGCTCCTCTCCTGCTGGGCCACCAGAAGCTTCTCCCCTAGTTGTCATCAGCCAACCAGCTCCCATTGCTCCCTACTTCTCATGGCCAGCTGAGGACAGTACCTCTGACTCGGTGAGCAGTGAAGAAAGATGGAGCAGGGGCAGGGAGGAGTGGGTAGGTCAAGCCCAAGTGGCCCAGCCTCCAGAGCAGGAAGACTTAGCCATAAGGGCACTCATTTTTTCTTGGGGGAGAGGAGGTAGGCCTAGCCTCTCTTCAAGGCCACCCAATAGACACCACCCCAAAACCCAGTCATACCCAATAGCCTCACTACTGCTAGCCCTTACTCCCCACACTCATTCTCTTTTTATCCACCAGCTACCTTTAAAACACCTTTCCTGCCCCACTCTTACTATAGCCCTCTGTTCTCTGTCCCGGCCTGGACTGTTCTTCCCTTACTTGTCCCAATGTGCCACTCCCCCATCTTGGAACACTATCCTAGACCCAACCTATCTCTTTGGTGCCCAGGAGGCTGAAGACGAGAAGTCAGTTCTGATGGCAGCTGTGCAGAGTGGGGGTGAAGAGGCCAACCTGCTGCTTCCTGAACTGGGCAATGCCTTCTACGACATGGCCAGGTGAGTGCAAGAAGGGGAGTACAGGAGGGAGGTGGGAGAATGCCAGCAGGAAAGGCATCCAGGTGAACAGTCCCCTTGCCCATCCCCCAACCTCTCTCTTCTTGGCCCCAGCCAAGAAAAGGAGACGTAGGTGTGGTTGACATAGAAAATTACCCACCACTCTAAATCCCAGGTGCCTTCCAGTAATCCCTCCCCTGAGCATATCAACACGTGCACTCAGAGGCCCTGCCTTTAACTGGCTTCTGTGTTGTTCTAGCACCATCTTCCGTGGAGCCCAAATTGCCCTGCATCCCCTCTCACCTGCCCCTACCCCTTCCCCAGCCACGAGGTAGGTACCTAGGCTCCATTGGGGGAGCAAGGGAGGTAGGTGACCAAGTCCCCCAGGGACAACAAAAGAGAGGAGACTGGGATCCAGCATCCATCCAACCACCGCTGAGATGCTGCCTCTCTTTCCTGACATCCCTGGAGGACCCTTTGGGTGGTAAAGCCACAGGGGTGGGGGATTCAGGAATCAGATTGCCCCCTCTGCCCTCCCTTTCTTCTGCAGGTCAAGAGGGGAAGGCAGAGGGAAGAGAGATTTTATCACCTAGTCCCCCAGCTTTGCCTGGATGTGAGATGGGCTCAGGGTAGGGTGGGGGTGATGCTGTCATCCTTCTTGGCTGGCGCAGGAAAATGAAGGACGATGTCAGACTCATTTTCAGCCTCATTAGGCAGCAGACGGAGATGGAGCGAGGAGAGCAAGAGGTTGGGGGATGGGCTCTGCACTATGGGGACCAGCAGGGACTAAAGAAGGAGGGCACAACCCCAGGAAACTAAGGCCTCCAGTGTTGTGGGGAGAAAGATACTGTGGAAGAGGTTAAGAGGGAGAACTACCAGGATGCTGTATTAGGAACAGGGGAATCTGAGAACCCTGGTGCATGGATCCCTCTCCCTGATGTTTGCAAGTCAAGAAGGCAACAGAGCACACTGACCCTCTCCTTTCCCCTGTCTCTCTTTAGTGGCTTTGCAGTGGGCCCCTTGTCAGAAGCCAGCACTGGGGGCCCTGCCACCCCGCCATGGAAGGAGTTCCCTATTTGTAAGGAGCGCTTTCCAGCTGAGAGTGATAAGGATGCCATGGAGGACCACATGGATGGACACTTCTTCTTCAGCACCCAGGCCCCCTTCACCTTTGAGTGATCTCACCTCTCCCTTATACAAGCGCAAACACACATTTAAACACATACGCACACTCAGACACACACACACACATTTAGGTCTCATGCCTCTTTTCCAACACAATGGGCTCCATGATATTCTGTTCCCTAAGAACCACTCCCGTGTGCGTTTTTATCCCAAGCTCTCCAACCTCATCCTCTCCTACCCAGCTCTTTTATCCAGGCAGGGGTCCTTCCTGAAGCAGTGGCTGAATTTACCTCCTGAAAGCGGTTTTGAAGGAACCAAGATGGAGGAGGCCTTCCCCCTCCTAGCCCTGGTTGCTTCTGTCACTCACCAGCCACCACACGCACCACCACCACTGCACACACGCACACGCACACACACTCACTCTGATGCCCCAATGCCAGTCCCTGGGGCACTCTACCCTCTTATCTGAGGTCTGTGTTTGTTCCCCTGAGTTTTCTCTGGGGCCTGCATTGAGGCAGCAGCATGGACATTATGACCTCTTCAGGTCTAGTTCTGAGCTTCATTGGTTCCTTTTACTGCCCCCCTACATTGCCTTCCACACTCCACCCCAGCCTTTTTCCATACCATTAGATGTTAAGTTTGGAGGTTTCTTTTGTATTTTTGAGGTTTTCTGTACTCTATCTCCTAGCACTCTCTCCCTCCAACCCCTAGTGTCCTCACATGGAATGAAATAATGCATTGTGCCTTCTGTGAGGGATGGGGGAACAAACGGTCCCAGGTTCTCCCACTTACCAGGCCTTCCTCCTTCTCCAGGTTCCCCCATAGCAATAAGAGCTTTCCCCTCCAGTACTCCTCCCCCCACCTGTAGTTTGGACAAATATATTTATATGGTATGTATAACTCTTCTAATAAAATGTGCTCTTATCATGAGGTGTGACTAGAGCAAAGAAGGTCCAGACACCTGGCTCTCAGACCTTGGTGAGGGGTAAGGGAGGGAAGGGACTTCATTATCCCATTATGCCTGCTGGGCTGGCCACCAGTGGGAAGAGGAGGAGGGAGGAACCTTTGTCTCAGGTGGAGTCTGGCTTGGGGAATACTGCAGTGGGGGAGGGAGCGAACTGGGTTGGTGTCGGCTTACTCGGGGTTTGGTGGGACCCAGGGTATCGGGCCAAAGTGCATGCCTTAGAAGGCAGGTGAGGTTTCCACCACTCAGACCTTCACCCTCTATAGCAGCCATCGCTGTACCTTGGGCCAAAGGACAGGCATTACTACTGTCAGGAGTGTATACCTTTGAGTATCCACTTTATAAAAAATCCCTCTAAAGACTATTTGATATTCTTCCCATCTCTGCCTCCCTCTCCTCTATTGCCATCCTCACACACCCATGCACACACTCTGACTCCACAGTCACGAAAACACATTCATCCACTCTAACCAGCTTCACAGGCCAGACAGAGATAGCATCATAAAGCATTTATTCAGGACCTGGGTGCTCACCAACACTCAGGAGTGCCCAGTACAAGCCATGCCTACAGCCCCCTTGTTCACCATCCTAGTAGTTCACTTACCACCCTTCATTCCTTTCAGGGCCCCTGGGTGGGCCACTGCCATCCCACCATTCCCTCTCTATCCACCTGAAACCTTCCCATCCACCCCCCCTCCAGCTCTACCTGGATGACATCTTACATCCTTCCTTCCCTCACATCGCTGTCTCCTAGCAACCCCATCTCGTTGCCTGAATCCCTTCCAAGGAAATTAGAGATAATGGATCTCTCCTCTCTCCATCTCAACTCCTCTTTATTGATCCTCCTTTAATGAAAGTTAATTATAACAATGATTTAATTAATAGAATCCCTCTCTTCCTTTATTGCTTCCCGTATTAAGACTATTAATAAATACGAGCTGGGCTGACAGAGGCATCCATCACCCGCTTGGGATTCCCCCCATCCCTTCTTTTCTCCTCCCTTGTGCCCCCTCCCACTCTTGGCCTATAAACTTGCTGGGGTAGTGGGGGTTAATCAGAGAGGAATTATGAGCCAACATCCCCAGCAGGAGGTGCATTTAATGAAATCACTTGTGATTTATGTCGGGAGGTTGGAGAGGGAAGAATCTGGAACCCAGATATCCTGGCTTCCAGAAAAAGAGGAGGAAGACAGAAACAGGAACCCAGGGCCCTTGTTCCTACCCCATAGCCCCTGCCAAGGCACACACCCCACAGGAGCCACATGGGTAGCTGCACAAGTCCATTGACACAGAGGCTGCCAGACAAAAATCACTTAGGAAAACTGCAGCATAGGTTTCATTCTTGCCCAAATCCAAAACTTGGCATGGGTCATTCTCACCACCTTCCTTTCTCCTCAGCCCAGTTCTGCTTCACCTTCCCAAACCTGTTCCATGCTCCCCTCCTCCATGAAGCCCCCAGTACCTCATCAGACCCCTCCACCCAGATGTTTAGAGCCTGCAGCTGCTCCTTGCTGTGCCCTTTGTATGTCTCCTGATGTGCAATCTGCACCTTCAGGCTGGGAGTTTACAGCCATTTATCTTGCCTACCCCAGGATCCAGGACCTGGATGCTGACACAGGAAGCTCAGGGAAGGTTAGCTGACTGCATGGGCAGGGCAGGAAGACTTGGGTTCCAATTTGGGTTCTTTTTCCTACTTACTGTGTGGTCTTTGGCAGCTCAGCCTTTCTACTCATTTCCCTCTGTAATGGACAATCTCTTCCCCCCCTCCCCCCGCCCTTCCTAGCATCCATACAGAAACTGATGGACCTGAATGGGCTTAAGAGCCTGGTGTGAGAGGAAAAGTCAGACCAAGAAGCAGCAAACAGGAACTCGGGTGTCAGTATTTGGTAGGAGATGAATGAATCCAAACATTACTCCCCTCTTACAGAACCTCAATGGCTGCCTGTTACAGGAATGGAAAGGGCAGACTGTTGAGTGTGCCAGTCAGGGTCTGCACTATCTGGTCCCACTTTGCATTTCCTATCCTATCCTATCCCAAGGAACCCTGGACTCCAGTTTTATAGAACCACACAGAAATAGGCACTACTTTTGTATGCCTCTGAACACATGCTTTCCCCTCAGCTCAAAGGACACCTCCTCCATGAAGCCCTACTTGACTTCCTTCAGTTATTTTCTGAGATACCGCATAGAACACTGTAAAAACACACCACATCATGTTTACAAGTTACAAAGCTTCCCATGGGTGACAATATGGGGGCTGAGTCTTAAAGAATGAGTAGTTGTAAGCTAAGCATGTGCAGGCAGAAGGAACAAAATGTGCAAAGACATAACTCAGAAGTCTAAACACTCAAGTAGGGCTGCAGAGTGAGATCATACATGGTGTGTAAAGTGAGGCTGGAAGGATAGACTAACAGACATTTGCTCATATATTCACTCAACAAATATTCTTTGAGTGCTCACTCTGTGCCAGGTATTTCTAGGCACTGGGAAACAGGAATGCCTCCACTCATGGAGCTTACACTCTATTGGCAGATCATGAAAGCCCAGAGAAACCAGTTAGGAATCCACTGTAAAACCCCAGGAAAAAATGGTGAGCACCGAACTTAAGCTGTGTCGAAAGGAAAAGAGGCAGAACTCTTTAGGATGCAGGATTAATGGGACTTGGTGATAATTAGATATGGGAAGTGAACAAAAGGAGTCAAGTTGATCCCAGGTTTCTGGTTTCAAACCAGATAACCAGTGATGCCATTCACCAAATAAATAATACAAATGGAGAAATACATTGAGGGAAAAGACGATTGATACAATTTTGTCTTGTTAAATTCCCAATATCTCTGGGATCTTCTGAAGGAGAAAGAGATCCAGTAGGCAGTTGAATCGATATTTTAAGTCCAGAGCTCAAGAGAGTTTGGAATTGGAGAAAGATTTAAGATCCTTGAAAGTAAAGGTGATGAGAGTGAAAAAACATTACCTAGGTCTCCCCCATGTAGAGTAAGAGCATAAGAGGGCCAAGGGCAGCACCCAGGAGGCCGTCAACATGGAGGGGAAGTATGAAGAATGCAGAGCCACAGAGAAGACGGAGGGTCAGAGAGGTAGGAAGCAGTGCAGGAAGAGAGGAGTCAAGGAGAGAGGTTAGCAGCGGCTGGTGTGGCAGAGAGGCCGGGGTGATGACTCCTGGAAATTACTGAATGAGCAGCCAGGAGGTACCTGGTGGCTCAGCAAGGAGCTTACAGGAGAGTGTTGCAGGTGGAAGTTACTGTGCAGCTGGACTTCAAGAGTCTGCCACACAAACACAATTCTGACCTGTGGGATTAGGGATATGTTTCCAAGCTCACATAAAAACAAAGACTTCTAATTTAAGGTGTAAGAAACATCAAGGGCAGGAGCCAAGGTGTCTGGGTCCAACATCAGAGATCCTGCTGTCTCTGACTAGCCAGGGCTGAAGCACACTGTAAGCCTGCACTGTCCATTATAGTAGCCACCAGCTACATGCGACAGCCAAACACTTGAAATGTAGCTAGAATGAATTGAGATGTTGTAAGTGCAAACTGCATAATAGATTTCAAAGACTTAGTACCAAAAAAATTTTAAATAATTTTATATTGATTGCATGTTGAAATTATAATATTTCTATTGAGTTAAATAAATATATTATTAAAGTTAGTTTCACCTGGTTCTTTTTACTTTTTAAATGTGGCTACTATAAGTTTTTAAATTATATAAATGATCTGTGGTAAATCTCTACTGCACAACACTAGCCTAAGCCCTGCCACTGATTAGGACTCCCACAGCCTGGAAGTCCCTGGACTCACCTAGACTCTCAACATCCCTTCTAGCAGGAATATAAATACCTAGAATTTCCATGACTGCATTCTAGATGCACCCCTACGCCCCTTGGCCCCAATACCATACCTATGACAAGAAATTCCAAAAAAGTGGATTTTTCCCCCAGCATCTCCCTAAATTTAGAAGTCATGTCTTCTCCCTGTTTTCCCCATTCCTCAGCTCCTTCTTTGCATTTCTGAAACTGTGGAAATCTCCCAAATTGGTATAAACATGGTGTTGTGGCAACCACACAGGCTTTAGTCTCTAAGATTTACTTTGTCATACTTCTTACCCATGTGACCTGGAGCAGAACACTTCATATCTCTAAGCCCTCATCTGAAAAATGTGGATAACTCCTACCTGGAAAAGTTATTGTGATGATTATATGAGTTCAAATGTATAAAATGCCTTGCATAGAGCCTAGCACACAGTAGGTACTTTATAATTTGGGGATTCCCCCTTTGCATCTTACCCCTGCGTATTTGGAGAACTAGGGAAAGAAACAGAGCAAACACAGGTTTATGCATATAGACGGCCAGAACCTCAAAATCAAAAGGGTGTTTAGAGATATATTTCCAGCTTCTCATTCAATACAGAAATCCCTGGACTACATCCCTCATTGGTAGTCATCCAACATCTGCTTAAACATCTCCAGGGGCCAATCTTTGGTTCACTCAATAAACAAGAACACGGCACTGAGGGAACCACAAAGAAGGGTAGACACAGATCTTGCTGTTAAGGAGCTGATGTATTAGCATAAAGGATATATAGAGAAATAACTATACAGTAAACATGGTATGCGACGAGGTGCCATGACAGCCAGCCAACAACCTTACAAGTTAACCTATGTTCTACAAAGGATAGTTCTAATATTAAAATCCCCCCTCCCAAATCTCAGGCCTCGGTTTTCCCACTCATTTCATGGAAAATGGAACAAGATCCTTCCACACTAGGTCATGGTTCATCCAGAAGGAGGACATTTCTGTAATAACCTTAAAATTCCAGGAGGATGTGAACATGGAAAATGCTAGAATGGATGAATGGAAGCACAAATGTGGGGAGAATTGGATTAGCTGTAAGATCCTCCAGCCTCTCTCTTCTGTATTATAAAACTAGGAGTCCCTAGATGTCTACCCACCCTCCGCGTACTACCAGCAATTCCTGCCCCCT